TCTCTCTGTCTCTCTCTCTCTATCTCTCTCTCTCTATCTCTCTCCCTCTCCCGCTCCCGCTCCCACCACCTTCCCATCACCCCAAACCCTTCGTTTTTTTGCCCAGTGATGTCCACGAAGCGCTGATGAAATTACCATTATTTTCAAATGCTCCAAGATCCATTCCATCTCTCTCTCTCCCGCTCTCTATCTCTATCTCTCTCTCTCTCTCTCTATCTCTCGTATACTTAAAATAAATTACTAATCGTATGAAATGGCTAATGCTGCAATAGGATGTCGCTGTAATAAAACTAGATAAAGGAAATATAAATTTGAAATTTTCGAATTTCACAAGTTCAGTTGTCAGACGACACGCGAGAGTGACATATTGAAATAAATTGTACTATTTCTTAAATGATTCATTTTTCAACGGCTTATTGAAAACGTATTGACTATCCATTTATCTTGGATGTATAATGTACGTAGACAGGAGATTTATCCGCTGAAATCGATTATCCCGCTTTGCTCTCGACAATTGCATAAAATTGCAACACAATATTAAAATAATATTATTAATAATATTATTAATTACAATATTATAATAATTTTATTATCTCCACCGCTATTATTTAATTAAGGCTTGAAAAATTATAAGCTAATAAATTCATGCAAATATTTCTTTATTATACCCAACTACGTACATAATACTCCTCTGAAAGACACAATCTCGCATTTATTCATAACATTTATGTAAATATTAAATATAAGCATCTGATTATGTTAGGTGGACTTTGAGAAATAATCAAAAAATCGCGCAGAAATTCTTCGGAGCGATCAACTTGTTCATTATCATTTCAAACATTAATTAAGAAAATTACATTATGAATGATTAAACATAAAAATTTTGTACTTAAACGAAGTATGAAGGTGGGTATAAATCATCCTTAAAATTAATTCGCAGCCAAGACCGCTTGCCTGACAGAAATATATTATAATTTAATGAAATGCCTCATTTGAATCTCTGCCGAAAATCTTATAAATAATTACTATACTTTATTTGAACTAAATTTAATAATAGCACGCGGCATTCATTCCCCATTGGAATAATGCAATATTTATAAATATTTATTAACTCCCTGCTCGCGGATGCAAACTCATCCTGCTTTAATAAATTAAAAAATCGCATAAACATATCTCGTATGTTCCCTCGCGTTGAACATACGTTATTATCGCGCATAATACAAACGTATACGATCCAATCATAAAGCATTGGAGGCTCGCGAAAGAAGATAAGCGTCGAACGCGTTGATGGGCCAAGGGAGATTAAAAAAAAAAAAAAAAAAAAAAAAAAAAAAAAAAAAAAAAAAAAAGTCAATAAAAAGAATCAGAAAAAAGAAAATATGAATAACATGAAAAATAAAAAAGGAAGAAAGAAAAAATAGGGGAAAAAAGGTACGATATACGCGGAAGAAGATGATCTCGAGATTACAGTCGAAATTGCAAATAACAGCGCGCGATAAAAGTCGCGAGGAACCAACTCCGTCCCTTCTTCTCCCAATCTCTTTTTTTTTTTTTTTTTTTTTTTTCCTCCGTCTCACTCCGAGACATCTCCTTATACACATTCAGTAGGCCAATAACAGTGCCTCGATGACTCCATGACGAACCAAGAAATACAAGCTTCATACAGAGGCAGTTTGTAATTAAAGAAACGGTATATCGATAGATATCCACGATACCACTACACGACCTGTACATTCGTATATACGCACGCATATAGGTTAGGGAGGAGGCGAGTGAGGAAGCTCGATCCTCGATCCACGACTAAAGTCTCTAATGACGAGCGATCATCGCTCGAGAGTCCGCCTCCTTCCATCACGGACACTACCGCACGTGCGCGATGATACTTTGTCAATAGAATGAAATAAACATCTGTCAAGAGGATAGGAGTCGTGAAATAAATCGCTCTCGTGCGTGTGTCATACGTTATTTCGACGTCTCCGTTAGGAATTTTCGTCATTTTCGTCATTTTCGTCATTTTCCACATTTTCGTCATATTCGTCATATTCATCATATACTTCATTTTCTCAACTCGACCGTGTCAATTGCGCAACTAAAGGAGCTAAAAATTGGGTCATCCACATATTCCGAAAGCACATTAGCTCGGCACACATTTCGACAGGATAACGAATTTGGGTATTGTCTCGAAGAGTTTCAAAAGCTTCGTATTATCCCGTGCCTTTATTACAAAATTTCTCTCCCTCTTTCTCTCCCTCTCTTTGGCAGACAAACGCGTAAACAACTACATATTGCATATATTTTCCCTTCTCTCAACAAGAAATCTCTATTCGATTCAAACACATACAACGCAAAAAATATAAACATAATTATATTTGTCACGTATTCTTAAAAGTCTTAAAAGACAATACGATCACATAACGAGCGGGACGTTCCTGACTTTTTTTTTAAACATACATTTTTACAAAATTCTTTCACCCTGACGGCCAAATTCACAAATGTCTGTCGGTAAAAATTTTCAATCTTCCTTTGACAAACGCAAGTCAAAGAAATAGTATGAGAAAACTCGCCTATAAGAGTGACAAAATTTTCATTCTATTGACTTTATTAGCCTTTCTTGAGAAAGTCTTACACAAATTTTAAATGCTAAAACAAACTCGTAATCGTATCATTGCGATTATATTTTCATCTTAACGTTAAAGCATAAAATGTCCAGTATTACTAGCGCTCGCGCGCGTTAATTCAACTTATTATGATTACGTTAATAAGATTAAAAAAATATAAAATAAAATAGAAAAAAAGAGCATAAAGTTCTTGACACTTTTATTTTAATTTATTTTATAAGTATTTACAATCAAGCAAGACACGAGAATTTATTAATTGACAATTTAATAAACATCGATTGTAAATATCGATATACTTTATAGCCCACGACTGGCTAATGTTATTATATTTTTACGAAGTGCGTAGCTCTAATTAATTAATAATAATGAAACAATTAAAAACCATATTACAAGATCGATAATTAACATTAAACGTTTAATTGCCGTAACGTTACTTTCACTCTAATGGAATATTTTTTACCGCTCTTAATAATGCAACGATTCGCCATTAGGCGCTTTTCACTTTTTTTTTTTTTTTTTTTTCTACACTTCCTTCTCTTTTTTGTATCTATGGAATCATAATAGCAACCAAATTCAATTCAAATGAAAAATTAATAAAGTACCGATGTCATAACCTAGATAAATTTTTGTATTAAATAAATTGAAAAATTACCAAGTTTCCTAGGCAAATAAATTAGAAGGCCAATTATAAAAGAAAAAAAAAACGTTAATAATAATTCTTTCATTCTTTTTTATTTTTTTAATTTTTTTTTTTTTTTTTTACTTTTCTTTTTATTTTTTCATTAAAAAGAGAGCATTCGTCAATAGAAACGTAAAACTTAAAATCCAATAATCCAACATGCCTTGCGATGGAAAAAATAAGTCTTGCGAGCAAAGGCGCGAGTTATTACATCAATTGAAATGCATCATCAGCACAATGGAACGGAAGTAAATTATAGTCGACGCCACATTAAAGTACAATTAAAGTCAGCAGCACAACTACTATAAACGTTGCATAATATCTCGTTAAAGGAAGCCGTGCGAGTGGGACGAGATGCCGTGCGAGGCACCGAAACCGGCCCAATGCCAAGCCGTGACCTGCTACAGTCCGTCAATTTGTCAGCCGAAGGTTTGCAAACCCATGTGCAAACCAGGTTGCCCACCGCCCGCCTGTCCACCACCCTCCGAGCCTGTATTTCGTTTCACGTGCGATCCACTGTGCACACCGCCGTGCAAGCCAATATGTCAGCCGCCCGGCTTGAAGGGAATGTTGTGCGTGCCCCCCTGTAAGCCGCATTGTCCACCGCCGTGTCCGATAATGTGTTCAGTGCCGGTCTGTCCATCGCTGTGTCCAGCACCGTGTCCAGTACCATGCAAGCCAAGTTGCCCACCGCCTTGTCCAGTCCCGTGCAAACCAATTTGCCTGCCACCTTGTCCACCGCCATGCCCACCGCCATGTCCGATTATGTGTTCAGTATCGTGCAAACCAATGTGTCCACCACCTTGTCCACCACCTTGTCCACCACCTTGTCCATCCCCATGTCCGATTATATGCCCAATGCCATGTAAACCAATTTGTCCACCACCTTGTCCACCACCTTGTCCAGTACCTTCTCCGCTACCTTGTCCACTACCGTGTCCACCACCGTGTTCGATCATGTGTCCGGTACCATGCAAACCAGTTTGTCCACCGCCTTGTCCGCCACCTTCTCGATCTCCTTGTCCAATGACGTGTCAAGTCATTTGTCCAGTATCGTGTCCACCACCTCCGTGCCCGACAGTCTCCTGTAAACCAACGTCTTCGGCTTCATCGAGCAAATCAAAAAACCGATCGCCCAAATCGTGCTACTCCATTTGTGTCCGTCCACCACCATGCGTACGTATCGTTGTTGTTATTATTTTGTCTATTTATCGCTATTTCGCCAATTTCAATAATAAAAATAATTATAATAATATTATAATCATAAGTGAATAATAATAATAATAATAATAATAATAATAATAATAATAATTGAAAATTCAATTGGTCAATTGAAAAAGAACTCGGTATATGAGCATTCAGCTATTAAACTTACCGACTATTTATCATTGCTGTTATTATTATTATTATTTATATTATTATTATTATTTATATTATTATTATTGTTATTGTTATTATTTATATTATTATTATTGCCAAAACAAAACAAAAAACAAAACAAAAACAGAAACAAAACAATTTCTTAATAATTTCATCTCGATAATAGGCGCTACTACCTTCAATTCCTCCCAGCAATTTATCTCATTTAAACAACAGATGGATTGTTTTATTTATTGTTTAGGCTCCGCTGAAGCCGTGTAAAAGTTATGAGCTGCGCAATAGTTTCTTGCACAAATGCCAGTGCATAAGAAGGGATGGTTTGCAAGATAAATGCTTGATGTCGGATTGTATGGGCTATCCGGAATGCAGAACGAAATTGTTCCCAATTTGCGGCCCCGGACAGTGCGCGTTAATGAAACTGTGCTACAAGGGTGGATCATAAAATAACTTTTTAATTCCACTTTTATATTTATATTTATGTGCGCTGCAATACAAATTTTTTGTATGTATTCTGTAAAGTAATTTTGTTCATTAATATAATGAATCAAATCAAAGAGTCTTACAACATTGCATCTGCAGTGTTATTTTTGTTATTATTGCTATTCTTGTTGTTGTTGTTGTTGTTGTTGTTGTTAGTTTTTTTTTTTTTTTTTTTTTTTTTTTTTTTTTTTTTTTTTTTTTTTTTTTTTTCATTCTTCGTCATGAAATTATTATTCTTATTATTATTTATCGTCGTTTTCAATGTTATAGTGATCACCGCTAATCGTTATCATCTTGTGCTTGTCGTATGGCGTTCGGCTGTTGGTATTTCATCCAACAATGCTCGATTAAACAAAAGAAAAAACGTAAGGAAAAATCTAAAATAAATATCACGTACATTCCTGGTTTTCCTCTCTGTAATGGCTCATTTTCGTTTATTAACCAAATTAAAATGTTTGTAGGAAGACTATCGATGAAAGCACATTGCGCAAACACTAATTTTCCATTTTCATTACATTCTTATTAACGTCGGGCATAATACTTGAATTTTATTAGCGATATATTCTAATAAATTCGACATAACCATGCAATTTATTGTCGTTGCGTCCAATCACACTCGCATGGTCCTTTTGAAATTCCAATTATTTCAATCTCCCCACGAACCAAATAACGTTCATTTGTATGTTTTAAAGTAATTATGGTTATTGCGCGCGCGTCCTTACTTATTGGTATTGCGTTATACATAATATAAAATCATTCGATGCAACAAAAGCAGTTTTAGCCCTAAAATCCGATCGACCTTATTAAGGATTAATTATAAATTGAAGCGGAATTCTTTGAGAGAGCCCACTCTGATCAAAAGGAGAAGGAAAAATCGGGCTCGGATAGCCAAGCGATCAAAGGCCGTAAATAATGCTCGAGCGCGTTAAAAAGCGAAAGATCGGGAGGCGATTGTACGGGTAGAAACAGGTTTTCCGCGGCCGCTCGCGAGAAATAATGTCCTTCTTCTCATCCCCTTCTCCTCCTCCTCCTCCTCCTCCTCCTCCTCCTCCTCTTCCTACTTCATTTTACCCTATCCTTCCCACTCCTCACTTCACTCTCCTCACCCGCACTGGTATTTCGTAGTCGTGTAGAGTAACGACGTAAGCTTCGTGATTCGGCGTGGCCCAGGTTTGGTGGGGCACGGTCCTACCTCGTGGTCTAGAGTCCCTACCCGGTGTATGGAAAATGTTCTCGATCCGATCGAGGACGAATCGGGGACGTTCGACGGGCCCCCTGTCATCGGCCGTAGAATCCGCGACCCCGTGGCGAAAAAGCCGAAAATCGAGTGACCCTCCTCCCGCTCTCCACCGTCCCATCCTCGCGTCATGGTGCCTGGGATACTGCGGGGAGGTAACCTCGGGATCGTCGGGATGCACTTTGGCTCGCTCGTCGTGTTGTCGCTCGCGACTCCTCGTGCGCGGAACAAAGACACAAGAAGCAAATTTTTAATCGAGCGTCACGTTCACATTGCGGAGTTGGCTTTGTTCCGGTAGCGAGAGCGGACAAAGCCAGAAGACAAAATTATTTTCGGCAAGACTGTTAAACAAATCGTTAAGTCGAACTCTCCTTATCTCAGCATTTACGAAAAAGGATATAACGCGATCGGGCGTACGTTTATACTCAATGCATTATTTCAACAATGAATTTCCACTCCCCAACACTGGCTTCTTATCTCTAATAATTCACACACAGGCGGCTACCATTGTTTGAGACAAAAGCGCAAGGCCGAGGGACAATTTATAAAAGGCAAGAAAATTACGAACGAGCAAGTAAACAATATCGCCGGCAGTCTGTAGTCTTAAATATTAAAGTAGGTTTTTACTGCCGGATATATTGGCCAAACACCATTTCGCTGTACGTAAACAAAAAAAAAAATTAATGTTACCGTGTTGGCTTATTTGCCGGGAAAAGTCATACGAATGAAACATAACTGCGCTCTTAGCCATACCAACGACACCGGGGCCTTAAAAATGCCCCCCCCCCCGGAGTTTAAATCATTTTTCTGATAAATGCGTGTATTTACAGACGTAAGACTTATACGGCATTAAATACCGCAACTCTTCATCCCGCGTTGCTTTATAATTAAACAAAATTAAGAAAACCAAACAAAATAAAGAAAACAACGTCCAAAAAGAAAAAACCAAAAACTTTTTTTAACTGCACGTAAAGCGCGGTTATAAGACGGGTGCGGGAGAATATCAAATTGCGAAGAGGCGAGAAAACGCGACCGCCCCGGCCTCTGCTTCCACCAACAACTCACCAGACTTTACTTTTGGGGGAGGTGAAAGCGCGGCCGGTGACGTCAGTGACGCCAGCGCGCCGAGGGAACTGGAAAACGTGAATTAAGTTCGAGGGCTCGCGCTCTCTTGCTCGCTATTAGCATCCTAAAGGGTTCGTTAACTACGACAATTTTTAGCCAGTGGATTGGATTCGCTCTCGACTGTACCTCGCGACAGCCAGGATACAGCCGTAAACGTAGTCTTGTTGACTTTGTCGAGATGTCCCGAGGAAAATTGAGTGCTGCGAGGAAGGTTCGAATGGCAATTGAAATGGCAAGCGCGCATAAATTGAACAACGCCAAAGACTTTGCTCGCATCTTGATCTTTTCACTTTCTCTCTCTCTCTCTCTCTCTCTCTCTCTCTCTCTCTCTTTATCTATCTATCTATTCATCACTCTTATAGTTTCTTTTAAGCGCTACACGTGGCGCGCTCGCTCGTTAGTTGCAAAAATTCTCGGCCAATTCGACTTGTATGGCCTGCTCCGCGAGCCGTGGCGCAACGCCACAAATTCAAATGTCGATATTTCAAGAAACAAACATCCGTCGCACATTATGAAAAGGCGCCTCAGCCAGCGGCTTCTTCAATAACAATTTTGAGCGAATCCCTCGATTTAGCGACAAAACAAAAGTCCTATCGCCACTGAGAATCGGCAATCCGAGGACGCCCAACCCCGTCTCGGACTCCCGTAAGTAATGCCCTCGCCACGCTCATAACTCTCTTCGGGCCTTCCCCCCGTATCTACCTCTCCCCCTATCTCTCTCTATCTCTCTCTCTCTATCTCTCTCTCTCTCTCTCTCTCTCTCTATATCTCTCTCTATCTCTCTCTATCTCTCTCTCTCTATCTCTCTCTCTCTCTCTCACTCTCTATCTATCTCCCGCTCATACTCCCCCTCCCTGCCACCCACCCTTCTCGCGCAATCTCGTATCCCTAAAGAAAAAACCGGCCGACTTCCGCACAAATTTGGCGGCGGTGGCGGCGGCGGCGGGCAGGTTCGGACGGGTGGGCGGTCGTCCCCGGACGGCTCGTACTTCATCTACTTTCGACCAAAGTAGCCCAAGCAGCCGTTAATACCTCGGCGGACTCCCCGGGAGGCGCGAGCCCGGAGCCGAGGGCGCAACAATGCGATTTATAGAGGCCAATGAGACGAGGATGACGACCGGGCGGCTCCCATCCTGTGCGCGCGCTTCCTGTGCCCGCCGGCGGAAAGGTAAATCGAGGCTGAGGACGTTATCGGCGGCTCATTAACATCACGGGCCGCGCGTCGCCGCCCCATGAAATTTATGAGAGCCGAAGCGCGATTCACACGTGAGGCGCGTAAGCAGTGGAAAGGCGCGCGCACTCGCCCACACACGAACGCACGTACTCACATACTCACGTACTCGCGTACTCACGTACTCACGTACTCACGCACTCACGCACGCACGCACGCAGGCACGCAGTTACGCAGTTACGCAGTTACGCAGTTACGCAGTTACGCAGTTAGGTAGTTAGGCAGTTAGGCTGGCAGGCGGGTAAGCAGGCAGGGGAACGTGGGAGAGGCTCGGCGTTAAGGGGCCGAATGCCTCCGGCAGATTACGTATTATGATGCCCTATTGTATACAAATAGGCGGTGGTGGTGGTCTGAGGGGAAAGGAAGGGATGAACGCAGGGACCGAGTGACGGTGTATGGGTCGTGAGGTGCTGAGGGGCGGGCGGGGGAGATGCGGATACGGTAGGTGAGAGGTGGGAGGAGGGGGATGCGTAGTAACTGGGTGGTAGGTGACTGGATGGCGGCGGTTGGGGAAGGAGGGCCGCAGCGAGTCCTCGCGCCTGGCTGGCTTCCCGACGAGGAGCCTCGCCTCCCTCTTATTTATTCCTCCTGGCGGTGGCGGGCGTTTTATTTGTTTTAACGAGGCTCGCGTGCCTCGGACCTGCCGGCTCGGAAACTGCAACGGCGCAAAGCGAAAAACCCATCGCGATCCTCGGTTATGCAAATGTTCGTCGGTCGCGGCCCTCACGACCCGGCCAATAATAATCGCGATGCGCTCGATGCCGCCCGGGCATCGTTCGGCAGCCCTGGCCGCCTGCGCAATACGAATGAATAAGTAATTGGAGGCTTCGCGCTACCGAGTTTGCCGAGTTTGCCGAGCACTCGATGCGTATGAATGGAGGAGGAAGTTCGCGAGTGCGCTTCCCTGCGATGTTGGGGCCGATACTGCCGAACGATGCCGACGCCGTTGTTGCGCGCTAAATAACACGGCCGATCGAAGAATTCGCTAGGCGGATGCCGGCCCTCCTCGCGGGAATTACAATCGCGCTTTACATTGCGTATTTTGTACTCCATTATGTATTTTTCCTAGGACGCACCTCGGACTTGAAACTTGCCGCTTTTGGAATGAGGAAGGACGCTGACGATTTTTCTTCGCCTCGGAAAATATCGGCTTTGTATTAGCGAGCGCCTCTCGCGCCAATTGCAGAAGGAGTTGTTATTGTCCATTGCCCCTTCGCATTGCCTTGCATATTTACCGTAATATCGTTCGATAGATTCATACACGTCGTCGATGCGACGAAAAAACGTGGAGTAATAATAATGACGAGTATGACAAATATATGAAAGATTGATATTATGACGCGATTGTGGGATTGTTGCCCGAGCTCGTTGATGCATTATTGTAAAATACAAAACATCGATAGTTTAGA